GGGACAAAAAAAAAAAAAAAAAAACCCACACTTGGACTGCATCCAAGGCAAATGTGGTCCAATGGGCTCTGAGGGCTCTGTTAGGGCCTATGTAACTATACACTGTGAGATCTGACCCTATCTGTAAACACCAGCTAAATAAGACCTGTGTTTCCTTTCTTACAGAGACTGCTGTGAACATTGCCTACTCTTGTAGTATATTTGATGATGAAATGGATAGAGTGTTCATGGTGCAAGGCAAGAATTATGAGACAGTTTATCAAGAACTCAGGTACAGGTGGGAGCCGATCCCTGGACCCAAGATTTACCCACTCATTTCTCCCTGAGTGTGACCACCAGAAGAAACAGGCAAGCAATGAAGGAGGAGAAATAAAAAGAAATCCTAAAGTATCTAAGAGAATGGTGTAAAGAAGCATTCAGGCTAAAGGAGTTGGAGTATGGGGGATGAAGCAGAATGGCACAGTATAAATGGTCTGGACCTAAGGCAGTGGCAAGTCTTGGAAGGCAGTAAAGCCCAAGTTCTTATACCCTCCTTGCCCATTTTCACCTTCAGACACACTTTCCTAAGTCCTTTGATTTCAGGTAAAATACTGATCACTACTCTTGGCTTTCAGGACAGCAAGGGCCAAGATGAAACCTGAGTCTCTGCTGGAATCAGACCCAACAAACATTCATCTCTCTACAAAGCCTAAAATGCCCTTCGCAGTACCTGATGAGGAGCCCAATGGCAACTATGGCTTGGTCATCAGTGGCTACAGTCTGGTGGGCAACACAGTGCTACAACTCTGTTCTCTTCTTCCAAAAATGTTTCTTCCTACATCCAACCCACTTCAGGGAAATTTCTCCTAGTCTATGAGACACCCTATTCCCTCTCCCTCAGTTGTCTTTGCCAGAAAGAATCGTTTCCCCAAGCTACTATAGGCAGGAATAAATGAAAGAGGAAAATCCAAAGGAAAAATTATTTCCTTATCTAAATTCTTTACTACTGATGTAGCCTGTCATTGGAGGGAAGGGAAAAGGTAAGCAGAACCTATCCCTCCAGTAAGTCACTTGGCCTCATACCCCTGTCAACTGATTTGATCCAGTGAGAGGCTGAGTCAGACACGAAGATGCCTAGAACTGACTCAGGGGTCTGACTTCCCTTGGGGGGTGAGCACCTTGGGAGAAGCTTTGCCTGTCTAATGAAGGACAGGAAAGTATGGAGGGATGAAGAGGGCCCCAGGAAGGTCCTACCCTGAGAGTCTTTTTGGGCAGAATGAAAAGTGAGTGTGTCCTGGTGCTGCAGGCCTGTGCTCTAGAAGAGAACCTGGAGTTGGAACTGCTGCGAACAGCATGCATGTGCAAGGGTGTGATCTGCTGCCGGATGATGCCTCTTCAGAAGGCCCAGGTGGTAGAGCTGGTGAAGAGGTACAAGAAGGCAGTGACATTGGCCATCGGGGATGGGGCCAATGACGT